ATAAAAATACAATTCATCTTCATACATATCACATGTCACACTACATCATTGGCAGTAATTTTAGACCCGACCCGTCAACTTACAAGCACGAATATGATCAAGCAATTACCAAACAATCATAAGGCTGTGACCGCCCGTCACTCCACACACAGAAAAAAAAAAAAGGCTGCAACCAACCAAGTAACTAACCATGTTTTTGATTGGGCTATGGTTTTGGGCTGCACTGCAGGATCTATCTTGGGCAGATTACTGTGGGCAGTGCCAGAGTCAATTCTAGACTGAGCCCGTCAGAATTCTGGTCGTATTCTTTCTCCTCCTTGGCCCTAATAGTGGCTTTTCCGGCTGTGGTTTCGCAGGAGGAAGTGTCTGCTGGCGGGCGATTCCCAAAGACATGAAACCCAAATAGCTTGAAAGAGCGTTTTTCTACTTTCTCATCTGCAACACCAAATCGCTTGACTACACCATCTTCAAACATGCGATGTGATTTACAAGTAGCTTCGTCGGAGTTACCGGTCCGTAAATCACCGACGGTGGGACGGGATTGCTTAAGAGATGGCTTATCTGCTCTCTTCACTTCAATCCTGTAGCCGAAATAGCCTGCTTCGTCTTCCTCTTTGTAAAGGGTCACAACGTCGCCCACTTTTAGTTTGTTTTTAAGAGCAAAGGCTCTCCACCCTTTAGAAAGTACAGGCTTTTTATACCCTTCTTTGCGAGTTGTGCACATTATTGGCCACACGGTGGTCCCATGCCGGACGTGCAACTCCACCTCGTGGTCGCCTCCGTTGGGTAAGAAGGAGGTCACAATCTTGGTGGGGATGGCTAATCTCTTGCGGATATCGGTAACAGTAAGTGATTTTGAGAAGAGCTGCATCATTACAGAGAAAACAAAGGAGGCAGAGAAGGGGTTTTTTGGATTTGAAATTGGAATTGGATGGCATGAGAAAAGCTTCGAATTGGCAGATATATGTCTGGGGATGAGGGTACTTTGTGGGCGCAGACATGGTTGATGTTGACGACTTAAAAGAGTTTATTTTTATTCTGCATACTCAATCCTCTTATGCACGGTACATCACACCCAAATATGTCTTTCACGTGGTGGATAGTTATAACTTATAACGGGGTATAGTCCATATTACAGTAATAAATTTGGAATTTCTTGAGTGACTTATTAAAAGGCTCGTCAGAAAAGACTTAAGTAGTCGTGTGATTTTATAAATTTAATTTTGATGATGCTGGTTGTAGGAGCTTGTAAAATAATCCAAGTTAAAAAGCCTCAAAAATATTTTTTCATGTCATTGAAAAAATAAACTTAAGTGAAACTTGTAAGATCTTTAAACCTCATATTTTAAGTCTTGTTAATTGTTAAATGTAAGTTTAATTAAATT